CCAACGACGCGGCGTCACCCGGACAGCCTAGAAGTTATGGACTCGAGCCGCGGAAGCCTACGTGTACACTCAAAACAAGTAGTCTGTAGGTAGTAGGTGATCAGATTCACAGTAATTCTTCATACTTAAAATGTTCATTCCTGCACCTTTTTTCTGTCAATTACTAACCATTCAAAACGGAATAGTTTTCAATCGTGCTGTCACTCACTATTGTGAAGATGGTGCAATCTTTCCCTAATTTTTCGCCCTGAAGAAAAGGAGCCTCTCGTCACCCACAAACATAAACGTCATCAAAGTCTTTCACAGTGGGAAAGCGGTTTGACAGGAAAATGATTTCCCATCATGCACTATACTTTTGCCTTGGCCCTTACAAATTGTATAAAGGATTCGTCTTGGTATTACCTTAGAACTTACCTTTCAATCATGTTTTGGTAAATGGAAGCGAGTCATAGCAGTATCAGCATTTGGAAGTGAGATTATATTTCAAGAATGAAGGAAGAAATACCAAAGGGGGAATGTCTGTTAGGTATGAATAGCTTTGCTTCTGCATGAACAGCAACCTTTTCCTTTCCCTTGTCTTTTAGTGCCGGAATGAATGTTCACGAGGATGTTATTGGGAATGGTCCAAAAGACCTAACGTCATCTCCCTTCACCAATTATCACAAGATTGTCTACTGTTGAGGCTGCGTAATATTCATTAGATGCGTTGGGAGAGCATAAGCAGAAACTGCAACAAACATCACCTTTTCTATCGAAAATTTTCTCTGTGTCGCAGGTGGACATAGCTTCACCAATTCTCCGTTGGGGTGACCCTGATTTCCATTGTTTTCGGGGCCAAAAAAATGATAAATATCTGAATTCTTTAATCAAAATTTTGGTTTGTTTGTGGATTATTGGCTGGTTACCTTCAGGTTTCAGGCAGATTGATAACTCAGAGATCAAGGAAGAAGAAAGGAATAAAGTAGACAGTTAATTAAAAATTAATTTCAGTTCGTTTGAGTCGATTACCATCTGAAATCCACTTTTCACTAATATTTAGGGAATTTTTGTTCTTCCCATGAAAGGGTTCATTAGCTACAAAATTTGATTTATGCATATTTCAAGAAACTTGTGGTAAATAAATTATTTAAAACTTTTTTATTTCTTTTTCTCTCTTAAGGATGAGAAAAATAACACTGACTAAGGTTAACCCAAACAGATCAAGTGCATCTGAAAAGCATCGTCTTGTGGGGCTCCTCAAATTTTCAACATGCAATTCTAAATTTAAGAAAAAACAAATGCCAATATTCAAAATTAAAACAATTTTGCAATATTAATCTAATATTTTTTGCAAAAATGAATTTAAAAAAAATTGATAGAATAATAAAACAGATATTTGGATTTTGTTTTGGGATTGAAATGATTCGCCACAATTTTTTTGAGAACTGAAGGTAAAAGGGCAAAAGATATTTAATTACATATGAATCTGAACAGACTCTATGTAGTTCGATATGCTCATGCTCAGAGAAAAGATAAAGATAATATATATGAAGAATCTTTAAGCAATCTGTTGGTCACTGACTTTATTATTCCTAAATTTGAATGGTGTACAAACAGGCCCTCTTTCATGAAATAATCTAAGAACACTCATTCTCTGGTTCAATGAGCATTTTTGAATCATGAATTTAAAACCTATACCGATTCCTTTGAGAAGCCAAATATTGTTAATCAACTGTGGAATTTTCTCTTCATTGGTGGAATCAGAAACACTGGTACATCTTATGGCTGATAAAATATTCATGTACGCTATTGTTAAAACTGAGAAATAAAATAGTGTATAAAATTTCATCAATTTTCAGATTTAAACATAACTTTACTTTAACACATCAGTTTTCTTTTCGTATTATTACTATTATTATTATTATTATTATTATTATTACTATTATTACTATTATTACTATTATTATTATTATATGCTTAAATATGGTAACTATCAATTCATGTTTCAGAGTTCTGGTTAATTTCAAGATGTACATTCATTTTGGAGAAATGACTACCAAAGTTTTTGTGACCAACTGCTAAGGAATCTTTGAAGATGTGTCAAGTGAGTGTGTTCGGCTAAATGTTTTGTGAAAAGAAAGAACATGGTTTGAATTATTAGAAAAAATAAAAAAGGAAGAAAAAAAATGTTGAAGATACCAGATTTTTTAAGAAATAATTTGACTACTAATATAAGATGTCGAAATTAGATTATTCTATGCTTATTGAAAACCTTTCTGTATCATTTTATTATTTTGTATCATTTTAATTATGTATTAAATTATAAGTACTCATTCTTTTGTTGCTAATAAAGATAAAAATGTAGCTGTAGTTGCTTGATGTTAGACTTTATAATGGTTTATTGGTAATTGGGGTTGAATAAGTTTTACATATAGATACATTTTTTAAAATTTACAATGAATACATTTGAAATAGTTTGTCTCCACTTGTGACAAATTTAAGGAAAACTAGTTTGATAGCGTAACATTCTGATTCTTCAATGGTTCTTTCACATTCTTTATCCACTCCCTTTCTTTGGTGGATGCAATCTTATATCAATGTTAATTTTTTTCATTTGTCTGTTGCAAAACATTCATACTCGCCTGGGGTCAAACCGAAGTCGTGGGTCCTCGCCAATCAGCACATTGTGTAACAAAATCTCAGTTATGATTTTCAATTTCACTTTATACAGCACCATTTACCATATTTACCCAAATATAAGACAACCCTCTTATTTTGAAGAGACCTGAGAATTTTAAAAAATGTTAACCAATTCTTACCATTTAGTCAAAATAAAATTACAAAGTGTCTCGACTAGAAAATTGCCTGGTTGATGAGAAAGTTAAGAGTTATTACTGAACTATTATTTTCTTGTACCTTAATATCATAATCATGGTTTTTGTCACTACCCTTATCATCTTTACAAGTATCAATATTTCCTTCTGACTGTTTAGGCTCCTCTTGAAAATTTTGAATTGTTCATAGTCTTTCATTAGAAGCCATCTAAGAACATTCTCTTCTGTTGTCAGATTTTCTATCTGATCTGCACTCAATGGCCTCTGTTTCCGTTCAAAATGCAGATTCATATTCACCGGGTATCGAACCAGCAACATGTAACAAACTCTCGGCATTCATTTTCATATTACGTTTCATTTGATATGTTTGGTTAGAGATTCTCTTTACTGACCCATTCAAAAATATTGGTCTGAATTGCCTGAAAAAATCACGGTGGATGCCGAGAATATGAACGCTAATAAATTACATATTGTTACATGCAATGTTTTTAGTCTTCCAAGTTTTTAGTTATGTAAACATTTACAAGTTTCGCGACATGGAATGGCAATGTAAAAACGTAAATCCTAACTGACTAGGCTTAATCTGCGATTAGAAGGCGACCCCCTATTTTTTGACAGATATTTGGAACAAACCTTGCCTTATATTCTGGTAAATACGGTATTTGAAGATTCCATCTTTACTAACTTATTAAAAGTATTGGTCTGAATCATCCAGCAAAAATCGGCAGTTATGGAGAATACATCCACGAATGATTAGGTACCACAGAGATGTGACATTTTAATCATCTCTTTACAGCTGATTGTTTCATCACAAGGAAAAGCAATGCTAACTGACAAGGCTTATTCTGAGATTGTAAGGTGACCCTGTATTTTTCGAAAGAGGCATTAGGTAAATATTGTAATAGAATATCAAAGAAAACACTAAAAATCTTCAAAAAATATCTAGATTTATGCTTATAAGTAAATAAATAGATGTTATATTCTTTTTGGTTAGGGCCACATTCAAGTTTTGGCCCCATGCTGTCATTGTGTAGATCTCAGTCCCTTACCTGACAATTAAATCCTAGGTAATCCATGGTATTTGATATGATCATTGCATGTCTGCCGTAATTTGGGTTATTAGAGAGTCAATATTTTCATTTACACAGACACATTATCGCTTAGGGTAAGATTTAGGAGTAAGTCAGTGTTATATTCCTAGTCTTGCCATCCCAAGTAACATTGCACTTTTTTTTCTACACCTCATTAATAATCTAAACATGGACATGTTCGGATAGTCCATAACAGATTGTTCCATAATGGAACAGCTCTTGGTATTTGATTCTCTTCTTTGACATGGCCCTACTATATTGGACCAATACATTCTACTTTTTATTATGCACTACTTCAAATGTATGTGAGGTAACTATTCACCTGTACTTGGTGCAATCTCATGTACACATTTCTTACCATGTATAATAATATTTTAAAGAATTTTTTACTTATCTTTATTTCTTATGATACATTTTTCAATTTACTTTATTCTTGAGAATGAGACTGGATAAGGCCTTAAAACATTCGCTTAAGAGGCATTGAAGAGTGTCACACAGATTTGTACTAATAAATCTTAAACGAAAACTAGTGCTAAAACAGCACATACTTTCTTGCCCGTGTTTGCAAACAAAATTACGCGAAAAGTACTCAAACATTTGAAAAATTATATTTGATCTTATTTTAAAATCAGATTCCTTAAGGGAAAAAATCTCTTATCTTTAATATTTTAGTTGTACGAAGACTGAAAACGCTTTCTTTTTTACTTTTGCAATTTTGAAAATTAAGGGTTTTTAATGAACAAGAGATCTGCACCATTCTCTTAAACATCCTTCACACAATCTTACATAAAAAATAAAAATTTTAATCGAAACTGATGGAACCATTTTTTTGAAAATTTGGAATATGTCCCAGGGGCTTCATGTAAAGTACCCTCCAAAATTAAAATATCTGTTTCAAATTTAAGGGGCTGCAACCTCCACCAGGTTGATTGGGGAATATCAATTTTGGAGAAAATTGACTGATCAGTTTAGCCATTAGAGCAGTTTATTCACAGACAGATGTTTTGCCGCCATGCAATATTTCGGCATCAAAAACCCACAAAATGGATTCTGGCTATACCATGAGTTCAAGGATTTTTTTCTAAATTAAGGAATGATACACTTTCGTTACCAAAGCTATGTAATAAGTTTTTCTGCTGACAATTTGCCATTTTCCCCATAGCTTTATATAACTTTCTCTACTCCGTAGCGAGAAAGTGAAAATATTTAGGAATATTTTTGCAGGTGTACATGAGGTACTGGGGATGTACCTCATGCTATGGACACATCTGGGGGATCAAGGAATTGATTCTATCTAGTGTAGCATGTACTTAACTACCTGAAAAGCTCCTAAGCCTCCCAGGCAAGTTAGGATAGAAAGGCTTAACCCAACAATATTTTTTGTGAGATATTTAGGTGATGTATGCCACAACACACAAGTGAACTACCATACCTAAATGGAACTTGAACCCTCCACCCATGTAGTGCTTGTGATGTTGCAAAATCTGAGAAAATACTCTCAATTTCTTAACTGTATAAATAGAAAGAAATTTAATGACAACTTATCTGGTTTGTAAAATGCACCAAATTTGCATAGACTTCCTTGTTCAAAACAATTCAATAGTTGACTCACACAGTACATCAAGAAGATGCTCTTTCCGCCACATACTTTTCTTTCGCTTAAAAGAAACGTCAAATTTTTCTTACTACTTTAATATTTCTAGAGAGCTTTCAACTGTCTTAATTTTTTGAAAAATGGAATATCACTACCAAGTTTCCTCAGTTCAGAGTTTTTTTTTAAGAACAATGCATTCCAGTACTGATTGTGACTGATAATGGAAAATAATAAATGTAAGAGAAAGGCAGATATCTTAGGATGACTAGAGAACACTTAAGTTATCAACATTTTTGAAAAAATCACAGTCAATCATATTCCTATGAGAAATAATAAAAATCTTAATATAATATAAAATAATTCTAATAATAAAAAAACTTCATTCATTTTCAGTATATTTATTATGGACAAATGTAATTTCAAACAGCACAAAAAGAAATACGTGAAATTTACACATGAGCAACCTCCTTCAAAATGACTTATTAATATTATTAAAATTCCTTACATCTACTTATAAAATTCATGCTCTGACTCATCCTTCTTTATATTGTTCTTGTAGCCTTTCTCAAAATCCTTTGCTAGGACAATGTACCGGTTTTCACGAACAGCATGCATACCAGCCTGCAAACAAACACTCTTAAGTTGCTTCTCACACTATAAACAATTTTATTTAGTTATAGTAACAACAGCAAATAGCACTGAACTAAATAGTTTACATGGTATGCAGTAATTATGCTTTTTCACATGTATGAACAAATAATTTCTCCATAAATAAGATCCTATCTTACTCTCATTTTGCCAGTTTCCAAATTATAAAAATTCTCCTGCCACAAAAGATATTTATTACTTCTTTGAATCTAGAAGCATTTATTTAATTTATTTTCTGATTATGACATAACTTTCCAATTAATTCCCCCTCACTGACCTCCCTTCCCTTTGAGAAAAAAACTGACTGATTTTGATTTACAAGTATTCACCATGATCACTACTTTAACTACATAATATGTGGCTAGGAGTAAACATATTAATTTATTTCTTATGTTATGACTGTCATACTATTTTTGTTGTTTCCAGATTAGATGAATATGGGCATATATCTATCTATATATATATATATATATATAGATATAGAGATAGATATAATCTATCTATTTCTATCTATATTTACACAGTCAAATTGGGTAATTGAATGCTGTTTATTATTAAAATATTTTTTAATTTATAAGCATTCTTCAGAAAAATGTCTTATGAATCCTTGACTTTGTGTAAAAATCTACAGGACCATATTCAACTAATCTAGTATAAAATATAAATTAACTGTAAATGTAACTTTTGTCACAAGAAATTCAACTATTTGCTTTGTTTTTGTATTTTTCAAGAGGAATTGAGTGTTATATTCACAGTTAAAAGACTACTACAAACAAAACTTGGAACCTTTTAAAAACAAAAGGGAATAAGGCAAGGAAATAACTTACCTCTTGACATATCGCATTTATGTCTGCTCCTGAAATTCGATCTGGCCGAGCTACATAATCCTCCAAGTCTACCTCTTCACTAAGGTTCATTTTTGACGTAATGGTTGAAAAGATTAGTCGCTTTTGCCTTCTGTCTGGAAGTGGAAACTCAATCTTCCTGTCGAGACGCCCAGGTCGCAAAAGGGCAGGGTCTAAGGTGTCTGCTCTGTTGGTAGCCATGATAACCTAAATAAAATGTAAATATAAAGAAATTTTTTCTTCTTCTATTTATAAAGTATCCATTTCAAGCGCTTAACAAAGTTTCGAGTCAAAACACAAAATAATAATTACAGCCAAAAATATTAAAATAAATTACAGAAAATAATAGTGGAAGAGGAAAATAAAATTGTATTCATAAGTGAAGAAGTTAAGCAGAACAGGACAAGCTGTGACAACAGGAGGCCCTAAGGCTAATTTTCACTTTATTTTGCAATAAATAACTCAAATCCCAGAAGGCCACAAGTAAAACCTTTAATATGGTTGCAGGCCATATTTTCATTACTTGGACGACCCACGTCCCACTTTCAAGCATTGTTGATCTAGACACTGAACCTGGCTACTCTGGAAAGAGGGGGGGGGTCGAAAACCATATCAAGCTGTATAACGCATAACGCAGTGAAACCCACCGGGACAATTGTGAATTTACTAGAAAGGAATCCTCAAATCTAAACTTAACCTATTTTCACATTAATGGAGGTATTGACCCCAGCAGGGTGCACTATGTTCTTGCCCAATAAGGATAAATGGGTTATTGTCTTTTGACTAATAACTTTTCACTGGCTACAATAAATGGCAGTGTGGGCCACCAGTTGGACAACCCTGATGTAAATGATAGAGATTTAAGTTAAATTGTTTATGTATTGTAAATAAACCTAAACACAGATCCTTGTTAGAATGAGATTGCAGTCAGTGGTGGATCCAGGGGGGGGGGGCACCATTGCCCCTCAAAAGGCCTTGAGTTTTCATTTGTTATCTTCCTTTATTTCGCAAAATTTACATATTAAGAGTTAAGATTTTGTTACACCGATAAGTCGGGCAGGTTTAATGTTCCTCAAGGCCTATAGCACTTAAATCCAGTGTATTTGTATTGTATTATTATATCCTCATTATTGTATATGAGATGTCATGTGAGATACAAGAGAAAATGGGACAATAATGAATACTAACTTTAAATAGGCATGTTTTCCTGAACAAGTGCAATATGGAATTAAGGAAGAAAATATTATCAACTCTTTTTGTATAAACTGGTTATTATAATATCAAATAAAAAATAATATTTGAATAATATTATAATGTAAGTCCATTTTAAAACAATGACTCACAAACAACACAATCTGGGTATAATCTAAAAAGAAATATACATTTTCAGCTATATATTTTGGACTGTTATCAATGTATATTACTATATTAATATTAATTGGTCTAAAGGGTTCATTGAAAATCGGGTTCCATTTTCAAGTGAACTTATAAACTTTGAGATACCAAAGAGCATTGCGATAACATTCATGATTAAAAACACGAAATGCTAAGTGACATTCATGCAATAATTGTGTATCTTAGAGTGAGTTACAGAAACTATATTGAAACTATATAAACTCCACACACTTTTTGTCCACTAAATTTCTGTAAAATGCAGAGTGAGTGAGTTCCACACATGATTTTATGTTAAACTGGTCCTGCTGATAAGATGTTTTCCAACAACAATAGTTTTGTGCTAATGTAAATTTCTTAAAGGTCAAAATATTTAGAAAACAATTGTTAATAATTGACAATTGATATTTCCAAGAACAACTTTTCCTTCCTTACTGCCTGGAACTCCAAGAAAACAAAATTTAAAGCAAATTTGGAATATTGATCACTTTCTATTCATAGATATATCAACTGGGCTAAATATGGTGAACCTACACAGGTAAAATATTGTATTTCACAAAGATGGGAGAATGATTAATAAACCTGATCCACAATTGCAATATATTATTTTTTGAATATGTTGTTTTCGGGGATCCATGATACTAAAAGCCTTTTCTTTTGAAACACTAGGCCTAATGAGAATTAATAAGTGCAAGGACTCTGAGAAGGAGTTTCTTAGAAGATGTTGCACATACCTAAAGAGTTAAATATCTCTTTGTGAATAATAAAATTAGACTGGATGTTCTACTTAGATAAGGAAACCAGTCCCCAAGCCTCTTGGGGGGGCATTAAGTGCTTCGCACTTTTTGGATTAATCCTCCATTAATTAAAATACTTCGTCACGTCTCGTCTCAGTCAGTTGTCAAGAGGACCGCCTCCCTCTTACAGTTTTGCGTCACTACCCAGTGGCCAGAATTGGGAAGGAGTTAGGCTAGGGATAGGGTTTTAGGACACTTCATAAGGGGTTGGACTAGCCCTTGTGAAGCAGCCAAACTCGTTTTGTCAGAACAAATTCCACATGAGATTGTCCGGGAGTCGAACCCGGACCTCATTACTGAAAGGCAAGCGACTTCACTGGGAGCCACCGAGCCAGCTGTTAAACTCCCATGTTCTCCTAACTTCTATTAAGCACCCCCTTGTTCTCACAGCTATTTTTCTTCAGAACACATTTGCTCAATTGCTTAAGACAGGTTGCACCCTAATGTTTTATGAGAATCGGGTATCCAGTTTTCTTAAAGCAAAAAGGTCTTAACATAGAAAGTGGCTAATGTTTCACATTGATTTGGAAGCCTCCAGACCACCTACATAGGAGGTTGAGAGCTTATTTGAAAGTTTGTGGAACAGGCCAATCTTTAAATTGGCTCCCCCATCTCCTATGACCTGTGAGGAGTTTAAATAAAAATATTTATTCTTTAATTGTTGTAGGTTTGGGTTCTTCACAGAATGTCTGCCCTGGCACGTTTTTCGACCCAATTCATTCAGTATATTTACCTTAACGTTGGTTGTTTGATCAAAACCATCCATCTGATTCAACAGCTCCAGAAGAATTCTCTGCACTTCTCTGTCCGCTCCAGTTTGAGCATCAAAGCGCTTGGTAGCAATAGCATCAATTTCATCAATGAAGATGATTGCAGGTGAATTCTCCTTTGCGAGACGGAACACATCACGAACCATTCGAGGTCCTTCTCCAAGATACTTCTGGACAAATTCTGACCCTACCACACGTATAAAAGCAGCTGAAAATGAAATCAAAACCACACATTAAAGTGAAATTCCACTTAATAGACACTGTTCTTAACAATCGTGGAATCCTCAGCAGTCCCTGCTATGAGTCCTCTGATGGGTCAAAGTGACAAGTTAATTAATGCCCAATTCAGCCCCATAGTACCCTTTAAATAGTTGTAACATCTGATATTTTTAGAGAGAGGAAGTTATGATCTCGACTGAAGTGGTGAGTCGGTACACACTCTCAACCACCTCCGGCATCCAGGCCAGAACATATTGCTTTACTTTCAATATTTCATTTTTCCTCATTTTCCTGCGCATTTTAGTCTAGTGTCTATGTTCCATTCAAATTCTTTCAATCTATACTACATTCACTTAAAATTCGCAGAAAAGTAATGATAAGATAGGTTTAAAATACATTCAAGTTGTTGCATAATAACAATTATGCAAAAAATTATCATTCTTAAGAGTGTTATAAAGACCAAGATAAACATTTTTGCAACATCACTTCTTAAAAGTACTCCCCTGTATGTTTTAAGGAGTACTCTAAAACTGGAGCATTCTAGTCTTATGCAATGGAAAATACACAACAAGAATGATGCAGAACCTCATTGTGGTTAGATGTATGGTTTGAAACATCTTAGTGACCACACAGTGTAATTAGAAATATTTAAAAGTGATATAAAATCTGGAATTTTCTAAAAGTTGAAATTCTTTAAGCTTATTATGATAAGCCAGAAACCTCCAGATTTATTTGAACATAAAAACAGCATCAAGACATTGTAAACAGCATGTAAATTAATACATACAGAATGCGAATAGTCAAAGAATACATGTTGTCACAGCAACCGGTAAACAATTAACTATGTTCCAAGCATGATTTTTCATTAAGGAAGGGGAAGCAGGGAACATTACAGTGTATACAGAATGTACGGAGGAGGTGGTGAAGGGTGTATTTTTGTAGAAATTTTGTTACATTCTGTCTCTCTTACCCCAGCTGCCATAGTGGTCGTATCAATCGGGTGGTTCGAGCACCTTCAGTTAAGATCAGGATTAGCATTTTCAATTAAAGGGAAGTTGGATATATGGAATTAGTTCCAATATTCTTAAATGATGTACATGTTAATAATTTAGAAATATTTTAGAATGTTAACTTAAATCTAAATAGACTGTGTTCAAAACAGAACTTATAATAGGAAAGAGTCATAGACAGGAATTGTATTCAACAATTTGTGTTTAACACAGACAGTAGGGAATAAGTACTCACCTACAGTACAGCATAGGGAAAGCCCTGATCACATAAATATCTATTTGCAGTTCTTTTATGAAATGATCGACTATCTGATAATACTCCAGGGATGTTTTGCAAACCAATTTTAACATTAGGAGGGACATTTACACAAGCAAGTAGACAGCATCAAGAGAGAAGATCCAAAGTACACACGAGAAATCAACAATGCACGAGAAGATTATAGTAAGCTATAAACTGTAACTCTTGACCCGTACGGAATTATAATTATCGTATACAAGAGAAATAAGATTAGATCATTTCGTGACCTCAGTATCAAGTGTAACCAAAATTGTAAATAAATAATAAGTTATTTAATTGAATAACAAGCTGATAATTTGTAGCTATTTGCCACCCATTCAAAATAACCAGTTTTAATTAACAAATTCTGTAATATATTGTAAATGTGTGCAATTCTGTATAGATTGCATGAACTTATCTGACCTGTAAGAAGACAGCACGTTGTACGTCGAAACCCATTGGTAAATGGAAATAGAATCAAGATAACAAACATTTCAGCACAGGCCAAATTCATAAGAATAGCAGAGCAAATAAATGATAAACACATTTATAGATTACATAAGTTTCCATAGCGTGTCCAAGCAGGAAAATAATAATATTAACAAAAGAAGTAGAGATTAATTTCTTGATAGTTCAGAAATTAATAGGAAAGTTCATTGTTAATTATTATTATTATTATTATTATTATTATTATTATTATTATTATTATTATTATTATTACTAGTATTATTATTATTACTATTATTATTATTATTACTATTATTATTTACATCAGTAAGTACTTCACATTATTGTTACAAGATTCAATTTCTTGTCAATCAAGATACTGTTACAATTCTCAATTTTTTTTAAAAATCTTTTTAGTTTTAGCTTGAATAGTTCCAGTAATTGGTTTCATTAATATAGAGTTTTAAGCTTCATTCTATATTGTTTCAAGCGAAGTAAATTCTTTATTTTTTTAAATGAGTAGTTTTTTTAAATTTTCAACTTGTTTTCATAGCTAGTATTCTTCAAAACCATGTCATTTCTGTATTATATGAAAAATCACTACTTCTGGCAAATAAAAATTATACTATCATGGATTGACTCATAGAACTTCAATAGGACTTCAATAGAATGTTGGATCAAATACAATACCAATGTAAAATTTGCATCCTTGTGAGTGGGATTGCGCCTCCGTGAAGAATTGAGTGTCTTAGACTACCAGCCAATAAGAGCAGAAATGCTATGCCACAATCTTACCGTTCTGTTCGCATTAAAATCTGTACCTCATATTTATTACTTTGTTTCCTTTAAAATATTTAGACTGTACAACATGAAAAGAATTATCAACACGCATGGACATTATAGGCCGGTTCATTGTAAAGAAAAGAAATGAACTAACAATAAGTATCTACTTGTTTTAAATAATCCCTTCCCCCCTGAGGACTCCCTTACACATAATTCTGAATTTGGCGATTCCTTAGCCAGAAAAACTTCACCTGTCGTATGGTGAGCAACGGCCTTTGCAAGCATGGTCTTTCCACAGCCTGGTGGGCCGTACATCAGCACTCCTCGCGGTGGGTCAATGCCAATCTGCTTGTAAAGCTCAAAATGAGTGAGGGGCAGCTCCACGGCTTCGCGAATCTCCTGTTTCTGCATGTCCATGCCACCGATATCAGAATACTGCACGTCTGGTTTCTCGTCTGCAACAGATATTTATACAGAAGTAAAATACACATCCTTTCAATCCTTCTACGCACAGTCTGTGGCAGTGGCGTAACATTTGGTAAAACGCAGCCCAGGTAAAAGAAGGCCTACTTTTAGACTGGAAGTTTTGCGATTGTAAGAAATATTAATTACTGAATACTTTCTCTGATACTTTGTGATAGTTGATGCAAGTACATGCAGAAGTAGATTTTTCTACTACTGCATGTAGTATAGATTAGCATGGACTGATGAATTCAAATTTCTTAAAGGATAATTTTATTATTTAAGATACTAACACTACTTGTGTTTGCTTCACACTGTTTATAAAGGGGGTCTGAATAAATTTTTGCGGGTAGGCCCACACTCCTTTTATTATGTCATTGGTCTGAGGTAAGAAAAAGTATATACATTGTTACGATTATTACATTTGCCTTTGAAGCCTGTACTGTTTATTTCCAAACAATATTCTTACGATTTGTACAAATTCATATATTACAATTTCCTTGATATGTGAGCAATGGTACAAATGGCCTACTAATCACAGCATTGTTATTGGTTGGTTACTGCGACTTAGTAGTAAAGTGCAAAGTAACATTCTTTCTGGTATAAACTTCTGAATAGCACACATGCAGTATTCTCTTCAAGGAAAACTGAGCTACACAGCACTCTAAAATGATAGTTCACTTTCTTAGACAACAAATGGTGTGTCAATAACTAATTTTTCGTGCGGGGGTGTAGCGGATGCGCTCTTGTGCTCAGCCCTTCAATTTCATTCGAGTGCACGCCTTTGGGCTGCTTTTATTTTATTCTGAAACTCAGCCTCGAATTGAACGGAACTAGTTTCAATGTTATTTTCAAGAGAGATTAATATTGGATTTTATCACACACTTGAATGGATAATACTTCATGAAAAGTCAATTCAAACAATTTACCCTGACAATTATAAACTCTTATAAAATCATGTTAATAATGAAATTTGATTGAACAATTGTTATTCATCACCATTGCTGTTTAACATTTGTTGAATTGAATTGAATTTGCCTTATTTTACGTGGCGAGACTCGGGCCATCAGGCCCGCTCTTCCGTCTTACCACACAAATTTCGCTACGCTCCTTTCACCAACTAGGAGAGAAAGGAGGTATTTACAGGCGATTTGAATTTAGCTCAGAGGCGTCATTTAGGCTTGAGGATCTTTTACATGCAAGTAAATCTACGAACATGGGACAGCCGGCTTTACTTCCCCCCCGAACGAAGGCATATGAAGGATTTTTTCGCCCTTAAAAATCCACGGCTTCGATGGGGTTTGAACCCGCCAACTTGGGTACAACAGTCCAGTATGCTAACCATCGCCGCTGCCGAATGTTAATTATAAGTCAGTGAATAATAATTATAGACTATAAATTGTGCATCACTTTTTTAACCGACTTGAAACATATCTTCAAACTTTTATATTTGTGCTGTATATACACTTTCAGGTGATTACAGTGAAAGGGATCAGTTGTATTGCCATTATATGAGGTTACATCTGGCTTCACCATAGTGAACGTGCCATTTGCCCCCACAGGAAGGAAAGGGGCACAAATAGCCATTTGCATATCTAGGGCTTTAAGTGGAAGCTTTTGCCCCAAGGGCAACTTCCAAACTCAAGGGCCTCTGGCCTCAGGGGGTGAAGTCACCCGAGAGGGAAAAACATCAAACAACACCCAAGGTTCATACAAAATGGTTGTTTTACTAGTTGGCATCAAACAATAACTTTACTGACTTTTACTGACTTACTGAATCAAACAATAATTTTGTTTCAAGAAAGCACTCCCTTTGTCACTTCCGATATCTAATTATATCCTTCTTATTGTTTTGATCATTTCACAAAAATTAAACTGTTCCAAAATGTCTTAAAATGCGCTTACTTAACGATTGTCTTCTGCGCATGCCCAGATACCCAAAAGTGATGAGAAACTTGTACTGCACATGCATAGAAGATCAATAGTGCTTTCAACATTTGAGAGTGCAAAAATTCCCTAATATTTTTTAAACTTCATTTTTCAGTTATTCTTTTAAAAAACGGTTCATGGTTCAAGAGAATAACAACAAAGAGAACAAATGAACATAACATTTACAACAGATTATGCATAACATTTTGAAAATTGTCCTTTTGGGTTCCTTTGGAACTTAAGTTGCTCAGAAAGAGGTTAATTGCAGTCGACTAGTGTATCATTCAGAAGATGAAGATTACTGTTTCACTACAAATGGAAGTCTGTCAAATCATTCATACTGAAGAGCAACATAAAGACACCCATATTCTTACAATTTTTCTTTCTTTAAGCTTTGTGTAGCAATGTGAAAATAAATACATGAACATACCAGCCTGCAGCATGGAAATAGATGAATCAGCTTCAGGTGGAAGCACATCAACTAGAGCATTGCTATGTTTGTGAAGGGCCACACTTGCAGAAGGTTTCAGTAACTCTCGATCAATAGTAGACAGAATGCGCACGTAGTAGTTTGATCCTAATTAACAAAAATTAATGAATTTGAAAACATTTGAAAAAATGAATTTTAACAATAATCTCCTAAATATTAATTTTCACTCACCAGTTGTGCTGCCAACAATGCCTGTATTTTGATCGACTGCTTCCAAAAACTGGCCAATTACTAATGGTACACTCTGTATCCGTTTCACTTCTTCCTGGGCATGCAAATATTCTTTCTTCAAGTTTCGTTGTTCATCTTTAATATACTCTTCTTGCACGGCAAGAAACTCCAATTGCCTTTGCAGTTTCTGGAAAATATACATACTCCATAAGGTTATGTTATACACACAAGTCATTAGCATTAATTTGACAATATGAACCTTGTATTTGGTGTACAGATCTTCTATATCCAAATCTTCTCCGGTGCCAGTTACTGTTCCAGTTACTGGTTTCACATCTTGACTAAATTCTTCCTGTTTCAAAGAAGCAATCACATTGTGAAGAGAACAATTATTATTTCTTAAGTAATACACCTCTTCACAAATCACGAATGTTTTCGAACCTTGAAAAATGTATTTTAAAATGGCTTTAAATCTTAAAAATAACATACCTTGTCCGGAAGAATAATCCCAATTTCTTCCATTCTCGAAAGTGGAATATGAACAAAATATGAACTTCACACTCAATGTAGCGGAGTCACTTGCCCAGACAATACCAACTTACGAAAATTGGTGTCTTACGGGATGAGACAAGAAACGTCACAGAAATATCTACTGAGTAAGAGTTGTGACTTCCAGGGAATCAGTTTTTATTGCAATAGAGTATATATATTGCTGTTCGGATAGCCACAAAATGACATATTCACCCAATCACTATTTCCGTAATCGATTGTCACGTTTTATTTAAGAGTTGTTAATGTGGCATGTGGAAAGAACCTGCTGCCATCTACCGAAATGTCATGTTTGCATGTCATTCGCTTTTGATACCGCTTTTTGATTCGCAACTTTCTTCAAGCGCATAATTGGAAGCGGAACAATCCATCGACTTTCAGACGAAATGTTTAACGCCATTGCAATTCTAGGTATGACGTATGGGGCTGAAGTCTGGGGAACATACTTGCCACAGAACTAAGTAAAGTAATGATGCCATAATGCAAACTAATTCTGATATACACTGAAAAGTGCGTTTCGTGGGATTTCGGCTCGGTAAGAATAAAATCACATTATCAAATATTGGAGAGACGGAGTTTTCACTATCGTTCACATTGTTTTAAAATCTGGAAAAAATGATATAGGATGTTGTGAGACACATTCTAGAGGAAAAAGCTGAGTCAGTACTATCACGTCGCAAATCAATTCCATTTTTTTCCTATGTGAATTTTGCGCCAAAATTGGTTGATAACAATACCTTCATATTCAACTACTTTATTCCGTCTCTCCAATTTGTTCGACCTGATTCATGCAATAGAAGCTGAGAAAATATAAAACAAGATAAACACGTTTCTTCATGTTATATACAGATTGCCCTAGGAAGCTGATTTTTTGGGAATCTTATGACATTTGTACCTTCCCATAAATGTACGAATATACGGAGTAATATACGTAGTATAGGTAAAGTTATGTAATTCTGTGGAAAATCCAAATGGAAGATACTCCTTGTCCGAGTCGAAACTTTGAGATTTTGAAAAACATTCTTCAAAATTTGGAAGTACTTTACATGAAACCCCCCGGACCATTTCCGGGTACAAAATTGCGTATATTTCCTCGCCACCTACATCAATCTTAGAAATCTTTGTAAAACCTCTAATATACCATACTTTTGACGTGTGTGTGAAGTAACTGTTCAAGAGAACCTTAAACACAGTCTTTATGTCCCAATATTTGAAACTGTATTGTTGGAGTGATTCTAAAACTTTTCCTCACTACACTATAGTATAGGAAGGGAGAAAGAGTAAAAATGTGAAGCCGTTTATAAAAAAAAATTATTATTTTTGAAAAATTGACGCGGTTTAAATCAGTCACGCGAAACATTACCACTATTTTAAAGAAATAAAAAAAAGCCAACAAACAAACATGAAATCATTTAAAGTGCTAATGTTGACAAAACGCTTGAAGAAAAACCTATGCAGTTGAGTCATGTCGGTTTTGAAAACTTCACTTTCTTCTCCTTAAAAGTATACTCGTTTGTTACATTATTTTGCTGAGAATCGGTTTGTTACTAGTAGTAGCAGTCCTTTGATGCTTTTTCTCCTTCTAAAGCGTCGAGAAGGCTGTGCTTAAAGGGAGTCGAAGCGATGGGGATATTTTTAAGTATTGCCGACAAAATCACGCTTGGGAGACACAAACGATGAAAAACGGAAATTCGTGAATTCGATTTTGGATCTTATGACAGTCCTGTATCGTGTGTGGCCCGGCGCGCATGGCCAACCCTAGGGGACGAAGAACCTTAGCCTGGCAGCCGGCCGACAGAATTGCTGCGCACTCGCTGTTCGCAGATGACGCTAAAGACATTTCGAGCCGACAACAACAGCTTGTAGCATTGGAAACGCGCCCAAAGTTCCAGTGATATACATTCCTCAACTAAATTTAAAATAATAATAATAATAATAATAATAATAATAATAATAATAATAATAATAATAATAATAAAATAAAAATAAATAAAGGATATAAAAAGGAGGTGAAAAGTGCCTCCAAAGCAAATCGATAATTACGATGAAAGGGAATAAACTAGTAGTGCTACAGAATGGCACAGACATTCCCGTATTATTTTTCTATTTCCTTTGGTCTCGGCTAGCTACTCGGACTTATGCCACATACTCCGGCCATCTATCGCCGCTCAAAGTACGTTTTTAAAAATATTCTTAATTTTTCGACTTTTAATAGTAATACCTTGTCCGAAATGGCAATTTTCATTGGAAAATTTCGAGTCGTTATTAAGAAAATGGCATTTTAGCGCTACTGTATATACGAAATTTGAACATCTTTTCACAGAACACTATTGAGTTTTCGCATACCGTCATATGACGTAATTTCAAGCACTTCGCGCCACAAATGCAATAGTGTTTACAAATCACTGGAAATGTGTAGATTAAAGGCATAAGAGATATTTCAAAAAAATTCCAATTGTGTAATTTTGAAAAAAAACAAAAACAAATGAATACAGCAAAATTAATTCTACGTCATCTTAAACAGTTTTTTCACTATCTGTTGGAAAACTTTGAAGAAAAAATATGGAGCCGTTTTTGAGAAAACGGTGTTTGGGCGTTTCTGAAAATGCGGTATTTTCAGCTCATTTTCACGGAAAACTATCTCAAATTATTTAAAGCACATGTACTATTAGTAATAAAGGTAAATATTAAGGACGTGAGAGTCAAGTCAAAAATTTGTGTATTTTGTTTAAAAAAAACGACAAGGAATAGAGCAATATGTCTTTTATGACATCTGATAGAGTGTATTTAGCACTACCCCACCAAAAGTTTAAAGAAAAAATTTGGAGCTGTTTTTGAGAAAATCTTGTTTTTGTGATTTTTTTAAATTGCACAAATTGCAGGCAATATTGCGCAAAACCGACGCGACTGTAAAGTTTTCACAAAAATGTACATGACCTTAATGAAAGAACTCATTATGAAGAACAAATTTCATTTTAAGGAAAAATCTACAAAATCTTTAATTTTATAGTTGTAGGAAGACACCGAAAAAATTCATACTTCTGAAAGGTTCGAAAATTCCGAGTTAACCGTGAAAATCGGACCTATACCACTTTTGTAAGTGCATTTTCTGCGTTTCGCCGTTTCTGAGAAAATTTTGAAATTGTCACAGGGACTTCATGTAAAGAACCCCCAAATTTTGAAGAAAGTTTTTCAAAATCTCAAAACTTCGAGCCAGATGGAGAGGGGTTTCTTCTATTTGGAAAAATTTCTACTTATAGATGAGGCGCTAGTGGTGTTTACGGACGGACGGACGGACGGACGGACGGACGGACGGACGGGCGGACGGGCGGACGGGCGGACGGGCGGACGGGCGGACGGACGGACGGACGGACGGACTGACGGACAGACGGACGGACGGACCGACGGACCGACAGACGTTTTGAAAAAACATAACAACACTTATTCGGTACCAGGAGACACCAAAACGTTTATTTCCGCTGAAAAAATCTCGAAATAGGTTTTCCGCAGCATTACATAACTTTCCCTGTACTATCCCAATGCACGTACGTATACGGGAAAGTAACTAGTGGTGTCACAGAATGGCACTGATTTTCTCGTACTAGTTAGTTAGTTGTTTTTTTTCTTTTTCTTCGGTTGCCCACCATCCTCTTGCCAACTGCCATCTATCGCCGACCAAACATTTTTTTAAAAATCTGCTTAATTGTTCGGTTTCTTAATCGCAGAAACAAATAATTACTTTAAGAATATAATAAAAGAGTAAAATCTCGTCCAAAATGGCAATTTTCATTGAAACATTTGGAGCCATTTTTACGAAAATAGCGATTAAGCCTTACTGACAAACCTTACAGAATTTTTCGAAAAAGATATTGGAGATTATATTAAGCGCTTTTGCTTATAAATGCAATAATGTATACAAATTGCTGCAAATGTGCGTATTAAAGGCTTGAGTTATATAAACGACGTGAGGCTAGTCAAAAAAATAACATTTGTGTAATTTGTGAGAAAATTACACCAAAACTAATCTAATATCATCCCAAAGAGTGCATTTAGCACTATATGCACACAAAGTTAGAAGTAAAAAATTGGAGCCGTTTTTGAGAAAATGGCGTTTTAACGTTTCTGAAAATGCGGAATTTTGAGCTCGTTTTCACAAAAATCATTTTCACACAAAACACGAGAAATTTTACACGATGTTATTTAAAGCACATGTATTCTTAAACGCAATAATGTGAAGAAATTACCGGAGTAAATATTAACGACGTGAGAGGCTAGACATTC